CACCAGAACGGACCCTGCAAAGTAGAGCGCCACCTGCTGAATGCACTAAGGGTGGAACAGCTCTCCTCGGCGCCTCCAGAAGTGGGCTCGCCTGTCTGGGTGCAACAGGTTGAATCTGGATTCGTCCGAGAAGACTACCTTGTCCCACTGACAATGTGTCCACTGTTATTGGCGAGCAGGCCACGCCGGGCGAGCTGCTTTGTTGGGCGGCGTGTGCCTTGGGCGCCTGGCAGGGACACAAGAAGCTAACCTGGCTCTACGGATACGGTTCCTTACCGTCTCCTCGCTCTCGTGGACATTGTCTGTCACCCGTTATTGGTCCCTGATGCAGTTTGCAGAGGTGGTTCGTGACGTCACGGCCTGTTTGACGATGAACCGGTCGACGCTGTTGTTAGTCAAACGGGGCGGTCCTGGTCGAGGCCTGTCCAGGACCCTTCTGGTCGCTCGCCATCGTTCTTGCAGCCTCTATATTATGACTGATGGAGACACCCCAAATCGATGTGCAACAACTGGGAACGTGGGGCCATCTTGGAGCCAGGTAAGGGCTCGTCCTCTGTCGACGTCAAGCAGCGAGTGTTGTTGGACCATCGTGTTGTAATGAAACATGGCAGGAATAACGCCGGCTTATAAAGGGTTGTAAGTTAGCAATATTCACAGCTAAGACATCTGTTTAGCACATGCCAAGCTTAATTTTAGCTAAGAGTCCCTATGCAAATGTTGCTGAGTCAGAGAAATTTAGCCCATTTTTCATGCTTTTCGGCTGTGTTTCAGAATGCCCTGCGCCGTCGCTATGAAGCTGGTGCGGGCAAATTTGCTGTAGAGGCAAACTGTGTCTAGTCGTCAGTGTGTGTGTCAAGTTTGGTTGACTGATCATAACGGGTTTGTGAGATATTGAAGTTTGAATTTGACAGGTGAAAACACAAGCTATTCCTTGACTTTTTTGGGCGAGTTTACTTTTTTGGAAATGCACTATAAAAATGTTATATATTATTATTATTATGATTATTATTTTGATTATCATTATGATTATGATTATGATGATGATGATGATGATGATGATGATGATTATTATTATTATCATCATCATTATTATTATTATTATTATTATTATTATTATTATTATTATTATTATTATTATTATTATTATTATTATTATTATTATTATTATTATTATTATTATTATTATTATTATTATTATAATCGACACACTCAGTGCAGAAAAAACATGATATAAAACCTTATAAAACCAAAAAATAGCAATTAAGTAGAAACTATCAGTGACCTTCTCTAATTATCTGCGTTTATCGAAATAATAGGAGGGAGGTGAAAACCTACAAGAGAATCGCCGAAACCTTGACAGCGTATTGATTTAGCAGCAAACTGTGGCACAGCGACTGGCTTCTAACCTTACCAACACAAACCTAATAGCTGCATACAATGATAGTTTTGCCTTCAGAACATATTCCAGTACGACATCAATGTTTTAGCAAGGACTATATCAATCCATATCGAAACTACCTGTTTTTCTTTCTCTATTTTTCTTCTTTGATTGGAGAATAGTACGTTGACACAACAGAGGTCGTTTTGCGAGGGACAAGAGCAAAAGACAGGCAGGATCAAAAGAGGGAAAGAAAAGGAGACTAATCAGTGGTTTTTACCAACAAGCTGTGAAGTTTAATTATGTGTTAAATTTACCACCTCTGAACGAAAGTGAACACATTCGATAATTTAACTTCGGCTTACGCACATTCCACTCACGGTAAACAAAGTGAGCCATGATGGTATGAAATACGTGAAGATAAAAAGAGAGCAGATGAAATTTACCTGGATGTGTAGGTATATATGATATACTTACATTATAATAATAAATTGCATTTGTATAGCGCATGTCCCCACTCGAAAGCAGGCTATATGCGCTTTACACTATATTTTTATACCAGCAGACCATAGAACACCCAGAAACATTCTCAGCTTCCCGGGAAGCATACAGTGCAAGCAGCTGGTTAAGCGCTCAAACACTAACAAACTGACAAGATCTTTCACTGCCTGTAGCTGGGTATCCATTTTTACCTACGTGAAGTGAGGAAAATTTGTGTAAAGTGTCTTTCCCAAGGACACAACGTCGGGCTCGAACCCCCGAACAGGCAACCTTACGATAACGAGTCCGATAGCCTAACCACTAGGCTACCGACGCCACAGTCATTATGAATTTAAACAATCATCTTCATGTCACGACATGGAAGAATCGTCAATTTTTTGGAGCAATGAAGGTTTACTTATTTATTATTTTTCAGTAAATTTATACCGAGCGTTGCTTTTGACTGGATGAAAAAATGTTGAGCAAAATAAAATATAAATAAATACGCGATCAAAATTGTCAAAAGGGAAAAGGAAGTTTCTTCGTTTTCATTACTTTGATGAGCGTCTGATTATACCTCAATAGCACACATAATATACACATGTTCAAGGGAATACACATACAAACATACACTGTGAAGAGAAAGAAAGAGAGACAGACAGACAGAGAGAGAAAGAGAGAGAGAGAGACAGAGAGAGAGAGAGAGAGAGAGAGACAGACAGACAGACAGAGATAGAGAGAGAGAAAGAGAGAG